CTTTGAAAAACTATGAAAGCGCATGCATCATACCTCAGATGCCCTTACTTCTGGGTGTCTCTTCCAAACCCCTTGTAAATGCCTTAGTAATATATTTGAATGATCTTTTTTTATACAAAAAGTATTGCAAATGGAATATAATTTAACTGGCATTAGTTAACAATACTGCTGACACCATGACATGTCTTCTGTTACTCCTACCCTTAGTTTTCAAAGCAGAAGGACAGCTGTGAATAGGAGTTAAATAAGGAATATGCTTAGCCTGACATGTAGGAGATAGTTATATGATTCATGGATGCTCTTGTGTGCACTTGAGTTAGTGTTTGCTATCTTGGTGTATGAAGCCCTTCTAAGAATACTTCTGTCTCCTGCAAGTGATAAGGTTAAGGTTAGATCTCAGTGCAGATATGTGCACAGAGCCTAGGATTTCAAGGAGCAAAGAGAAATAGAGCTAGAAATGAAGTCAGAAGTTAGTCTGTGGAAAAAACCCTCTAATTATTCAAATGTGTAAAATTGCAAGCAGAACATTCAGTTCTTATTTTCAGCTACTTAAAATATAAACTATCTTCTGTCAGAATTAAACTATTTTAGAATTTATTTCTCAGGGTTTTGATATGAAATTATATATCAATTAAGCCACAAAATTCGTGCTGTGATACTACCACACAAACTAGCCTGTCAATGAGTGCTGTCAACACACACACACACACACACACACACACACACACACACACACACACACACAAATTAGCTCCTGTAACAGTACTTTCAAATACTTAGAAGAGTCATAGCTTATATGGGAAATAAACTTGCTAAGTTTTTACCAATTTGATAATTCTCATATTTGTGTGATTTGTATTATTGATAGGTTTTCCTAGCCAAGGAGAGGAAATTAGAGAATATAAAGCAAGAAGACTGTGGAGCAAAAAAGAGACATTTTAGCAGTTGATTAATAATTGTCATCTTATGACTTGTGTTTACAGTATTTACCAGTGTCTTATGGAAATTTTGCTGCAATTTTTCTTATCATAAATAAATGGGCCTGTATTTACTTTTGTTTCCTTTTCTATTCCATAATGCATTTATAATGAAGACTCCACTACACTAGTTACTCCTCTCATTGCTGGGACAAAATGAAAGAGTATTTTGTTCACTAACACAGGGTACAGTCATTTATGGCAGGGAAGGCACAATGGCAGGAACAGGAGGCAGCATGGTTTATTATATACACCCTTAGTTAGGAAACAGTGGGTTATGAACACTGCTGCTGAGATCACTCCTTTTTATTCAGGTTAGGACCCCAGTTCATAGGATGGTACCAACCAAATTCAGATTGGATCTTCTCACCTCAGTTAACCTAATCTAGAGACTCATTCACAGAAATGACCAGAGGCATCTAGTTATTATAAACCAGTTAGGTAGATGATAACGATTAACAATTATACCACCAAGCCCCTCAGGCTTTTTTTTTCAGAGCATCAGTATGTGTGCTAGACCTCTTTTAGTACCCATTATTTAGTCAACTCTTCTCCTTCCCAGGTTACATGAACCTCTAGGTGCCAACAAAGTCATATCAGAAAAAGATTCAGTGTCGGTGTTAATGGCTTACTTGTGTGACTAGGATGTTCCTTGGAGGAGTAAACAAGACAATTGGAAAAGACATTGTGGGGGCAAAGAGTGGAAAATACAGAAGACTGTGGACTGTGTAGTCTGAGGGAAGGTAACATATTTCACTCCAAATATATTTCTTTGGCATATTTAATGCTGACAACTCAAAAAAGCTATAGACAACTGAAAGTCAGTAAAGTTATGCTTTTGAAAAGAGCAATGCACATGTATCTCTGCATTAGTAAAAGAAACAATGAGTGTAGATATGAGCTTTTCTTCTCCACTTTCCCCAATTTTTGCCTAGGAAGATCTTCCCACAGAAAGCAGAGATTGGGTGTTTGACATCTACTTAGATGGAGATGGCCACAGGTGGATGCTACCTGGAAGACTTCATCATCTGTATCAGTCAGTTCTTGCTCAGTGTGTATCTTCTTTCCAAGCTTTCCATACCCTCTGTCACTCCTTCATCCTGAAAACCCAAAGGATTTTATGACAGTCAACTTGAGTGGAGGCTATAGCTCAGTACAGAGTACTTACCCTGGAGGTCAAAGCCCTGGATGTGGCCCTCGGTACCACAGAAAAACGGTGGGACAATTATTTGGACCCATGTGAATTTAATAGTCACATGCCTTAGAGATGTAATGCAATTTGTGTACTCTTACTGTTTTCTGTCTAATGCTCATTTATTTCATAGAGGAAAATTACTGAAGCATCAGAGGGAAATGAATAAACTTAAAATTTCCTTTGCCAGAAACTAACTGGCATCTACTCCATGATTTTGAATAAAAATATTCATACACACATATGAGATAAAACGGTGAAAATGTTTTGATCATGTCAAATTCTTCATTTTTATTTGGAGTGCTAGAATTATGCTTTAAATTATGTATAATAATGTTTTGAATTTTCTTGATTATTTGTTATTTCTGTATTTAGTTTTATAAGATACATCAAAATTAATATTGGTTGAATGCTATGGGAGATCATTTGATTAATTTGAGTCTTCTCTGATAATGTTTATATTTGGCCAATATTGTTAATAAATAAAATGACTCATGCTGGATGGTGGTGGTTCATACTTTTAATCCCAGTACTTGGGAGGCAGAGGCAGGCAGATATTTCTGTTCCAGGCCATCCTGGTCTATAGAGTGAGTTCCAGAACAGCTAGGGCTACTCAGAGAAACTCTGTCTTGAAATAAAATAAAATTAAAGTAAAACAACTCAAAGGATTAAGTTCCTAAGGCTCTAACAATATATAGAGTTATATCAGATCAAGTCTGAAAATTTAGTTTTATGATACTGAACACTAATGTATTCTGACCTCAATGTATTTTGTTGTGGTAGTTTTTGTGAGAATGTCCACAGTAGGCTCATTTGTTTTAATACTTGGAACTTGATGGATGGAACTGTTTGGGAAGGATTAGAAGGTGTGGGCTTAAAGGAGGAGGTGTATCACAGGGTGGTCTTTGAGGTTACAAAAGACTCATGTCATTTCACCATTTCAAGCTCTTTCTCTTTACCTTCTGCTTGTTATTTGGCATGTGAGTTCTCAGCTGTTCCTGCTGCCATGCCTTTGCTCTACCTACATGGACCATCATCCTTTAGAACTGTAAGTCCATTGAAATGCTTTTTTTTATAAGTTGCCTTGGTCACAGTGTTCTATCACAGCAATAGAAAAGTGATTGATATAGCTATGTACAGTGAGCGACACAAGACACTTTCTGAAAACACTTTCCAGGAAAGTCATCACTTAAAATTGTAACTAAAAATCAAGATGTATTAATCAAAAATCAATTGTTATGATAATCTTAACTGGTAATGATTGCTTAACTTGTGTGTTGCTGAAGTAGGATGTAAATACAGGAAAAGATTCAACCTTTCTCAGACCTAACTTAATTTTTATGGCTCCAATATTTTTCCTCCTGTGTCAAGTCTCAGCATAGTTGGCAGGAGACTGGTCTACATGGAAACTGTGCATAGAAATCACACTTTCTTCCCGAAATACCATAAAAAACACTATTAAGAGGACTGGTGAACCATACTTGTTATTAAAACATCTATCTCAACTGCTTTGGGTGACCTCTGTATAGCAAAATTATACTGATATTTTTATTTTCATCCATGTTTCTATCTTAGCCATGTTTCTTCCTTATATTTAGGGCTGCCAAGTACTTTCATAAATAACCTTATAATTTCATTTGTAAAAATTTGTTTTTATAAGGAAGTGAATACAGCAAGATATATTTTCTCTTCCTTCTCAACTTCAGTTATAGACTACCTACTTCAAATAGTGAACTCCCAAAACCTCCATATCACTTCTACAGCTGCTGCTAAGAACTTAGGTATCTATTTCTCCCCTGAAGCCTATAGTTGACTCTTCTCAAGGGCATCTGTCCTTTCCCCTTGCCAAAAAGCTCACTGGTTTTGTTTCACTTTGACTTCAGATACCGAATAGAGGTACTTGAGTGTCTGAGACAAATTCCCCCGTTTATCCACCTGTATGGAGCTGTGCTCTTTAATGCCAGTGACATTGCTTCATACTTGTGAATGCCACTCTGTCTTCAAAGATAGATTATAAAAACTAAAAGAAAAGAAAACAGAGAACAAGCACAGACATGATGGTATGTGTCCCAGCATTTGGAAAACTGAGGCAGAATGACCATGTTTTGGGGGCTAACCTGAATTACATAGTGTACTAGGATACCTTGGGATATAAAAAAAGTTCAAGACCAGTCTGGGCTATATAGAAAGTTCAAGACTAGACTGGGCTGCTTAGCAAGTCGTTATCGTTTTATTTATTTTTTTCAGCATTGGAGATTGAACTCAGAGCCTCATGAATGCTAGTGAGTTAGAACTGCAACACATAGGTTCTCTCTTGAAGAAACAAAAACAATACAGAACAGGATAAATAAGACATATTCTAACACCACAGCTGTTTTTCTGAACAAAAACATCCAATGAGAAAAGAACCACAAAGAAGATAGATGAAGAACACTAGGGGAAAATGTCTTTCTGGGTTTGCTTATTACTTCCATTGTGTTCTTTTATTTGAGGCTTTTAAAGGTGACCTAGTGGCATTTTTATCATCCAGTGGTATAATTATTACATCTTACTTCCTATCCACCTTTATTGCACAACAGAAAATAATTCTAAACTATCACCTTTCACTCATAACCTGATGATGTAACCAGAGTCCAAAATCTGGCTTTCTGAGGATTGGGCAGTAGGCGGGTTCTGACACCTCACAGAGTGGAAGCCTCCAGCTTCCAGCCCTGCTATTGGTTAGGTTCTGATGGTATGGGTCACAAAGGTGGTTGCTAGGTGCCAGGTGAAGAAAAGATTCACCTGCGATCATTTAGTCTGTGTTGTGGAGGAGTTAAGTCAGCATGTCAATGACAGGATACCAGCTCTGGTCACCATGGACTCCTCTGGACGAGAACTTGCGATGGCTGCGGCACACAACACCTACCCTTTGCTCCAAACACCCTTTTAGGGGTTCTCCTTTATTTCCAAAGAGCCCTTCGGACCTTGAAGTGCAACAGTGCTTTCAGGAAGTCGCTGTAGTCTTAGATAGCCCGCCATTGGAAAATGGAGAGAGCCGGGATTCAGCTGGCCAAGCATCAGAGCCAGAGACCACTGACAAGAAGTATGGATTAGTTAGGAAGCCGGAGCCCATCCGCCTCATTGGAGTGGATAGCGTCTTTGGAAGGGATATTACAGTTCAGCCACCCAAGTGGACTGGAACCTTCAGAGTTTCAGACACATCAGCCTTCAGCAAAATTATCAGCAAGGAACAAAAGTGGCCCACTGGACTCAAGGATCCTCAGAATGAGATGACTGTGGCTATGTGCAAACAGATGTTACGCTCTATCCTCCTCCTGTATGCGTTATACAAAAAGTGCACCTTTGTCCTGCAACATTCCCAGTAAAGTGTCCCGACATGAATCCTGTACCCGGAGCTTACACAGACCTGTCCTTGTAAATCGATCTGTAATATCATGCCTCATATTTTGCACATCCTTCAAGCTGTGACAACCCAGAAGTTCCTCCCCAACTTTTTCTTCAGAGTCAGGGCCAACAAACCTGAGCAAGGAAGAACATTCCTGATGAAAAGACATTTAAGAGTTAAACTGCCATTGGCATGCTCATGTGATAAAGAACTCTTAAACCACACAAAGCAGCCAATATGGTGTGAACACACTCATGCTCCAAGGATAACGGAGAGCTGGGGGCAGAAAGGGAATGTTTCAAAAAGACATGCATGGGTTTTCTGTATACCAGAAGATGAAGGGATCAAAAATCAAATTCTTTGTGTGGGTTAAGGACTAGTTTGAGATCAGCCTTCTATCATCAAACAAATGATAACAACGAACCCTAACTGTACAGCCCTAATACCAACTCGAGTAAAAATATTAACAACATTAATCTTTACAGCCTGACAAGGATGAAACTGCTAGCGGGTTTGAGACTGGACTTTTTTGTTGAAGACAGGAGAGTTCCCATTTTAGCTCCTAGTGTTATATTTCCAATAAACTTCAATTGTTTCATTTGAAAAGAGTTTAAAATTTCTTATTTCAAACTGTAATTCAGTACTAAAAATATAATTATTATATAATCAAAAAACCCAAATGGTAGTTTCACCCTATTGTAACTGGGTTCTATTAAAATTGTGAGTTTAAAAATTATCCTACAAAAGTTGCATGTTCTCTAATTGGTAGCTCCTAGCTCAATATCTTCAAATAGGAATACATAGCCTGCAGTAACTACAGAAACCAGGAAAGGAAAATGGGACCATTGCTAGCAAAAGGGAATTGAGGAGCAATAGAGTGGGGAATAGCAGGGTACATGTGATCTGATCAGGAAGTGGGAAAAGGGGGGTTCCTTAGGGAAAGGGAGGGAGGTAAATACTGACGAAGTTGTGAAGAAGGCAAAGAGGAATGGTTGGATACAGTGATCTGATAGGGGAAATAGGGAGAGGTTCTGTATGGAGAATAAGGGAGATATACAGAAGAAAATGGGAAAAGGGGAAAGGGAAAGAGCAGGACATAGTGATCATGTAGGGGGCAAGCTCCTTAGGGAAGGGGGAGGGAGGAGGTAAAATAACAATATGGATGGCTGAGAAAGCCACTAGAAATTATACTATTAACTATTTACCTAAGAAACCTATAACACACATAATTAAGTGTATAAATATAATACATAGTTTTATTGAACTATTTTCATCTGTGCTGATGGTGCTTCCTCAAAGAGCCAAAGAACACTTAACAAAAACCCCAATACCAGACATGGGAAGCAATCTTCTGAGTTTTTGACTAGGGCTATGGAAGAGACAGATATGGATGAACAGAAGGTGTAGCCAGAGATAGGTTTATTTTTATTTTTATTTTTTCCTTTTTTATTTGAATTAGAAACAAGATTGTTTTACATGTCAATCCCAGTTCCCTTCTCCCTCCCCGCCTTCCCTACTACGCCCCTAACTAACACCCTACCTATCCCATATCCTTTCTGCTCCCCAGGGAGGGTGAGGCTTTCCATAGGGGGTCTTCAGAGTCTATCATATACTTTGGGATATGGCCTAGGCCCACCCCCATGTGTCTTGGCTCAGAGAGTCAGAGATAGGTTTACAATGGTAGTTTATTTAGGAAAGGTACTCACACAAGTGTGGACCCAGAAATACTTCCAGTCCTCACAGCCTAGCGAGAGAGCAACCAAAAGAGAGTGGCGTGCTCTGCCCCCTGCTTCTTAAAACCTTGACCACCCCCAAGCTGGCGTGGTCAGTGGTACCTCTAATCAGGCTTTCTCCCTACAATTCCCCTTTTAGTCTAAAGAGCATTTAAACTTGAGACAAAACTAAATTGTGTACGAAACATCTTAACATAACTCAAAGCATACATCATCTTAAGTAGAGAGAAGACTATATATACAGAGTAAGATGATGTGTGACAAACAAATTATACATAAGTTACATCATACAAGGATCTATAACAGTGTAAATTATCTATAATTAACAACCATAAAGGTGAATTACAAGAAGATATAATAATCTAGTTTACTGCTGTTGCCCTTGATTATTCCCCAGGGTTGGAAGGGAAGTACCTCTTGCTGAAGATACCATGCACATCAGAAACAGGGCCCAGAGACCCATTAGCTAGAACTGACCTGAATTCACCCTCCTGAGGACTAGCTTTCATGGTATCAGAAGGTACCATGTAAGCTTCCAAAGAAGAGAGGCAATCAGCAGTCCTAGCTAGCTATAATACCTATGAACCATGTCAGGGGTGGCACCATCCACAATGGGCTGGATGGTGTCACAACATTAAATAAGAAAAAGCTCCACAGGCTTGCCTATATCTTGATCTTATGGAGGCATTTTCTCATTTGAGATTCCCTTGTGTCTGATGACCACTCCTTGTGCCAAGTTGATATAAAACTATCCAGTACAACTGACACTTTGTCAACCTGATACACAGATATATCACTTTTCACTTAGAACATTTCCTTTCTCATTTATCCCCATGTTAATATTTGTATCCCAATATAAAATATAAATCACTTTAAAAGTACTACAGTCATTACAAATTCAAACACAATAAAACTACAGTCTCTTTAAAATATCCAATCTCTTTACAAAATTCAAAATCTTTTAAGAGTGACCTTTTTTTACATCCCAACTGCAGCTCCACTCCCTCCTCTCCTCTTAGTTCTGCCCCCATCATCAACTCCTCCTCCATTTCTATTCAGAAAAGCATAGGGCAGGCCTCCCATAATTATCAACCAAACATGGCATATCAAGTTGCAGTGAGACTAGGCACCACGCCCCTCTTGTGTTAAAGCTGGACAAGGAAACCCAGTATGAGGAATAGGGTCCCAAAAGCTGTCAAAAGAGTCAGAGACAGCCCCTGTTCCTACTCTTAGGAGTCTCACAAGAAGAACAAGCTACACAACTGTCACATATATGCAGAGGGCCTACCTAGGTCAGTCCCATGCAGGCTCCCTGCTTGTCCATTCAGTCTCTGAGAGCCCTCTGAGCCCAAGTTAGTTGATTCTGTGGGTTTGTTGTGGTGTCCTTGACCTCTCTGGTTTCTGCAATCCTTCTCTCCCTAAACGTCCAAAGTCTTTTAGCTATAGGTTCCTGTAAAAAAATAAAAATTAAATCAAGTAACTTCTCACTTTAAGAGGGAAGAGCCAGGGCATAGACTCAATCTGAATAAGCAAAACCAACTCCAACAGTATAAATAACATACAACATCTGGGATTCACACATGATCTTGAGCTCCTACAAAGGGTTTAGGTCACTTCTCTGGCTCTGCCCTCTGCAGCACACAGAGCTTGTCCTCTGAGCTCTGTCAAGCTGTACTCCAAGGCTGCTCTTGTTTTTGTTGGTGACCCCATGGTACTGGCATTTCCGCAGTGCTAGGGCCTTTTGCTGGAACTGGGCTACACTTTTCGCCAATAGCCTCTCTTGACTCTCTTCATGGAGCCAAGCCTAAACTTCTCTGCATGACCTATTTGATCCTGGGCCTTCAACTGCCACTGAGGTTGCACATTCACCAGTGGCCTCTATTGGCCTCTTATAGTGCCAAGCTGCAGCTGCTGTCCATGTCCCCTTCATGCCTTCAAAACTAGTACCACCTGGGTGATGCTTAAACTATCATGTTCAGCTGCCAGGAGAAAGTAAAACCTTGGCCATGTCTGGAACACAGCTTCTGTGTACTGATACTCTGGAAATACTTTGCACAAGAGTTCACATCAGTGATGCTTGTCTTTTATTCACTGCTAATTTCTTAGCTTCAGATGACCAGCATTGAATATCCCCCAGAACAAAGGTTTCACTTCAGTACTTCCAGTATCTTGTTAATCACAGCTGGGTTTTCAACCCAGATGAGAACTGTAGACTCTTAATTCAAAATAACAAATGACCCGATAGAATCTTTAAATTTCCTATTGAAACTTCCCAAGCCTTGTCTCCACTCTCTTCATTGTCCTCAAACTTATCTTCTAAGCTCCTACAGAACATCTCACCAAGTTTTGAACACTCAGCACCTTTTGTAACCCAAAATTCCAAAGTCCTCCTCCAAGTAACATGGTCATATCTGTTACTCCTGGTACCAACTTTTTTTTTTTTACTTTTTTATCATTTTTTATTTTAATTAGAAACAACATTGATTTACATGACAATCTAAGTTCCCTTCTCCTCCCCGCCCCCATTCTCCCCTACACACTCCCAACTAAAACCCTACCTATTACATATCATTTCTTCTATTCTTCCCCTGACTCAAACTTTCTGCTCCCTCATGACCTCTGCATCCTTCCTCTTCTCCCCTTCTCATTCTCGTAGCTCCCTCACCCCTCATCCCATGCTCTCAATTTTCTCAGGGGATCATGACCCTTTCCCCTTCTCCAGGGGACAATGTTTGTCTCTCATAGGGTCCTCCTTGTTTACAAGTTTCTCTGGCAGTGTGAATTGTAGGCTGGTAATCCTTTGCTCTATGTCTGAAATCCACATATGAGTGAGTACCTATCATGTTTGTCTTTTTGTGATTGGGTTACCTCGCTTAAATTAAATACAATCTATTTTAACATAACAACTGCAAATTTCAAGATTCCATTGTTTTTTTTCCACTGAGTAGTACTCCATTGTGTAAATGTACCTCATTTTCTCTATCCATTCATCGGTTGAGGGGCATCTAGGCTGCTTCTAGTTTCTGGGTATTACAAATAGTGCTGCTATGAAAATCGTCAAACAGATGTCCTTGTTGTATGAATGTGCTTCTTTTGGGTATATGCCTA